GCTCGACGCCTACAGCTCCGAGAGCGCGCGTAATTCGGCCAGGGGATTCCTAAACGGGTGATTAATTTGCTGAAGAATTGCGTCTCAAATCTTTATATATATCAGTGTGACAAGTCGAGAGGTTGTCTAAGATCTAGGAAGTGGAGGCGAGGGGGAAAGATGACAAGTCACTTATGCTGAACGACGTTATGATACAATATGTTTTACATATACCACGGAAGGAAGGAAGTCGGGACTGTATTAGGGAAACATCCACGACAAAAGTAAGGCTTTGTTTTATACTTCTCGGGCTTTTCTGGCACTCATATAAATCTGGTAATTCACCCGGCTGTTTGTATGGATGATACATATCAGCTTTGGCTCTAAACCACACCTAACATGTGCCGTGAAATGCCCCATGTTTCTGTCATCCTGAGTTCTACGGCAGCAATCCAAGGCGAGTGCTAACATCGGCGTGGCCCCCTTTCCTATCATGGATACTTGCAAACCGACGACTTGGACTCGCCATTTCGAGCGGCCCTTACGCAATCGCTGCTTCTGAGATGAAACCTAGCATAGTTTTGGCCTCAGTTCACGAGAAGATGGGCAGTAGCAGCAGCAAGGCGTCAAGCAAGTATTTCTCTCCATAAGACATGCGTCCACGAAGTAGAGTAGACATCAAGACCAGCCAGCCGGTCATGCATTCCATTACGAAAACATATCAAATCCTCGCGAGAGAGGACAAAATCTACTCTTACACCTTTTGATTCTTTCACCACAGCACAAACAAACATGCAAAAACGACGAGTCAGTTTAAACAGCATAAAAAGCAACGTTGAATTACCGCGTCGAAACGAGAAATATACTATCCACCCCTTCCCACTCATCAAACGGGGCGAAAAAAGACAAACGACACTTTTAATCGTACAAAAACAACAGAAAACCCGTATGATACGTATACTAAAAAGGGGTGTAAAGGTAATATCAGACAAGAATCCTCAACTCCTCATGATTAGCCCTTCCTTTGCCTTTCCGAAAACGCCGCGACAATGCAAATGTAGAAAGGAGGACCGGCCGTTATGAGGGGTGAAGAAGAAACGCGAGAATAATTATCCAGAAACCAGGTATTCGCACGCAGAAAGAAACGCCCCATGCCGTGGAAAACAAGACAAAAAATCCTTTCCCACTGTTTTGGTATCTTTCCCATTGGGTCCGCCCCGTTCCCACCGGAAAAACGCCGTCATGTCATGCGTGTGTTGTGTGCGTGTGCGTGTGTCTGTCATTTGTGTGATGTGTGTGTGTGTGTGATGTTTTCATGTACCGGCAGACCAGCCCAGCGAGTCCCGTGTAAGCCTCCAAATCCGGTTCTTCATCTCGGCCGCCCTCTGGAAGGGACTGGGCCGCTGGTCGTCGACCCCGTTGGGAGCTGTATCAGCAGGAGCAACGTCAATCCGCGTCGGCGTCGTCGTGCTAAGCCCCCGTTGCGAGTTGCTGCTGCTACCACCGCGCGGGTCCGTGAAAGGCGCCGAGGGACTCTATGCCTTGGCCTTGGGGACCGCCTGGCCGGCGGGGGCGCTAACGTCTCGCCGCTCCCCGGCGCCCTCGATCATCTTCTTGCGCGGCGTGGCGGTGCCCTGCGCAATGGACTTTGCGCGGCCGCGGCGCTCGCGGATTCGGGCGAGGGCCTCCTCGCGGGTCATGGTTGGCGTCATGGCGGGGTTGTTGACGTCGAAGGACATGTGCGACTCGCTCGAGGGCGTGCGGGCGCGCTCGTAGCGCGGCACGGGGCGGGGCTTGTCGTCGCGGAGGGGCACGCTGGTGGTTGTGGTCTTGGTGTAGAAGGCGGCGGCGGTGTGTGGGCGGACGGTGTTGTCGGGTGTCGGGGACGGGCTGCGTGAGGCGCGGGATTCGGGGCGCGCCGGGGTGTCGGGCATGGTGGGGATGGACGGGAGAGGAGCCGTGTGAACCTCACCGTCGGCGCCGCCGTGGGGGGCATTGAGCAGGGAGGCTAGAGACATGCGCTCTTGCGCGAGGACCGCGAAGGCGGGGGGGTCGAGGGATGGTGTGCGAGAGAATCTTAGGGGGGCGTCAACAGGTGTGGGCGGCTCGTTGGGGGAAGCCTCACTGTCTTCGTGCTGCGGCTCCTCCTTCTCCCTGCGAGCCTCTACCTCCTCTGCTTCTTCCTGAGAAACAGTGCGGAAGATGCCCTCGCGAGGGCAGAAGATGGTGCTTCTCCTCTCTTCTCTTGATCTCTTCAAGCTCTCGGGTTTCTTCGGCACGTCGTCCGAGGCGGGGGACGACAGCTGAGAGGATTTCAGAGATGGCTTGCGGTCCGACAGCGACTCTCGTGAATCGCGGAGGATGACCAGGTCGCTGGCGTCAGCGATCTCAGCAGGGGCCATCAGCCTCCTGCGCGGCGACAGAATGCTCGGTCTGTTGGAGGCCAGACTCTGTCTGGGGGATGCCATGCTGTGCCTCTTGCGCGCCTTGGCATAGGAGCAGCAGCGGTTCTCACACTCGGCCTGCATGAAATCAACCATCTCATACGCGCGGTCAGCACGCTGGCGCTCCCAGGAAAGCTCGAGGCTCAGCTGCTCAATCTCCTCCTCGGTGGCGGCGGACGAGACAATGTCGACCGTCGAGAGCGAGAAGCGCGGCCTCTTCTTGGGCGACGAGAACTCGTCTTGCGCGGTATCGTTCTTGGGCAGCGGGATGCGGCCCTCTGCGGCGATGCGGGCTACTTCCTCCTCCTTGGCAAGCGTCTTGAAGGCATCACGCTCCTGCTCGAGCAACTTGATTTTCTCGAGGGCTTCTGTTAGCTGCTCCTCCATGCTGACCATTTGGTAACGGGCCTGGAAGGCTTCTTCTTCTCTCGCCTTGGAGCGCAGCTTCTCGGCGTCGATGTTGTCGGAAGCCGCTCTCCACCCTTCGCGGGCGGCCTTAAGCTCTTCCTGCAGTTTGATGATTTGCGACTCGTTCTTAAATGTCTTTTTGCGGGCCAGCTTGATCTCCTTCTCCCAGGCGGCTTTTGTGTGTGCATACGTCTCCTTTGCGCGGCCGTATTGCTCCTAAACACAAATGTTAGAAAACGGGGGCTGCCAAACCTCGGAATCGCCGGGCGGGGTTTCTCACCATGACGGTCTCTAGCCTCTCGCTCACGCGCTGTTCCCTCTCCTTGCCCTTCTCGAGTTGGACGCGCAGGACCTTGCACTCGTCCTTGTAGCGGCGAGCCTCGCCCTCGGCCTCCTCGCGGCCGAGCATGGCGCGCTTAAGGGCGGCGTCGGCGGTCTTGCGCTCGAGGGTCTTGGTCTGGTTGGCGAGGGAGTTGAACTGGGAAATCTTTTCGTGGACGGAGCTTTCGCGGCCTTCGCTGCCGCGCGGCGAGGGGAAGAGGTTGCGGGCATCGCGCTTCTGGTTCGCGCGGTCTGGTGTGATTGGGTTGAGCGGGAGGCTCGGTGATGGCGACGCCGGGGCGTCGGGGATGTCGGCCATCTTGTGTGTGTATTGTATTTTGTGTGTGCGTGTGTGTGTCGACGGAGAGATGTTGGAAAAGGTGCGTGCTGGGTGTCTACCAACGTAAATCCCCTATCATGCGGGATGATGGCGGTTTGAGTGATTTTGGAAAATTGCTAGGTAAGCCTTTTCTTTTTTTTAGTCTGGTCCTGGGGCGGTTTCAGGGCGCGAGGGGCAGAGTCACACAGTCGTCGCAAAAGTGCGATGATGACGGTGATGGCGTCGAGCGAAGTAAGGTAAGCTGGGAGAGGTGCTTAATGAAGGTGGTATCATCTAAGGCAGGCCAGGCAAAAGCAGAAAAGTAGCACTCAAGGGATCTTATCGACCCAGGATGGCGGTTGCGGGTGGAAGCAAGGCCGTTGCGGGTGTTTACAGCGGCGCTGCAGGCGGGTTGACTGGGAGACGCGGCGGATTGGAGTGTGAGTGGGTGGCCCCAAGCAGGTTCGACGCCGTAGCGAAATGGGCGAGATGGGCTTCATTCCCGGAAAGGGATTGGGCGTGAAGAACAATGACCTAAGCAAGCCCCACCGTTGGGCCCTTTTTCAGTGTCACTGAGTGCAGCAGCCCCGGGTAGAAAATTGCAGTGTCGCGTTGGTGAGCTGCTTAATGTGGTAAGCTCAATAGGTGCAGACCCCACACAGCGATTGCCCCGCTAAGAGGCATGCAGCTAGAGAAATTGAGCTTGAAATCCGCAGAATTGGGAGCACACGAGATGATGCAAGCCGATGCCGATTGGGCATTGTGGTAAATGAAGTCCATTTCTTTTTGGGTAATCCCCATCGAGGCCCTGTCTTCCGGTGCAATGTCTCAAAGACTCAAGGTCTGTTGCATTTGCATAGGTATGTTGTACAAGTCGGGCTGCTTATGCAATTGTTTGTGTTGGTCGTGAAATATTGGCGAGGTGAGACCAGGCCCAGAGCTTCTGGAAGCTTACCTAACTCACGGCATCCGGAGGCCGTCGACAGCAATAATAGGGGACTTGAGCACTATATTCGTAACTCCCATCTCCAAGGACTCCCCCAAAAGCACCAAAGGCCCGTCTCTTCGGATGGCTTGGATCCGCCACGGCCTATCACACGCCGTCTAAAAGTCACTTTTTGGGGCCCATGTCCGCCATCCCCACGCCCACGGTGCAGCATCCTCGCTCGCTCTCGGCATCAACGTCGATATTTGAACAGCTTGCCCCAATCAACCAGTAACAGCAGCCCGGTTTGCAAACCCAGCGTAGAGTCCGTCCCTCCGTCCGCGTACCCAATTCGTGCTCCTCGGCCCCCAATTGCTCGAAATATGCAGTGTCCGTAGCTTCCGTCAGGCCACATCTCCATGTAGTTCAGGGGGTCGTCGATGGGTGACGTGACCTATCTTTAGCGCAGGACAGCTCCAAAATATATTTCCGTAAAAGTCGCGACCCCCCCATTGGAAGAGCTCTGCGAATCCCATCTTTGCTTCTTCAACACAACCACGTGTCCCGACGTGCACATTAGCCACATACACACACTGCACACACAATGGCCGACGACAAGGTACGGCAGCGCAAGCCGCAAGCCGCTGCTGAGGAGGACGACGACAACCTCTTTGCCGGCACCCCGGCCGAGAACTCGAGGGGCGCCGCCGCCGCCCCGTCGAAGAAGAAGAAGAAATCCAAGAAGGCCGACGATGGCGCGGAGGAGTACAGCCCGTGGCTCGACATCCTGCGCGTCATCAGCTTCCTGGCCCTCGCCTCCTGCGCCCTGAGCTACCTCATCAGCAACGGCGAGAGCTTCTTCTGGGGCTTCAAGAACAAGCCGTGGTATCTGAAGGTGGACTACTGGAAGTCCAAGCTTGTGAGTTTCCCTCTGCCTTCCCCCTGTTGCCATTTCTACAACAAGCGGCAAACCACTAACGCAACTCCCGTCCCAGAACGGCCCCATCGAGCTCACCCCCGAGCAACTCCTCGCCTACAACGGCTCCGACCCCGAGCTGCCCATCTACCTCGCCATCAACCACACCATCTTCGACGTCTCCGCGAACCCGCGCATCTACGGCCCCGGCGGCTCCTACAACGTCTTCGCCGGCCACGACGCCTCGCGCGGCTTCGTCACCGGCTGCTTCCTCGAGGACCGCACCCCGGACATGCGCGGCGTCGAGGACATGTTCCTGCCCCTCGACGACCCCGAGGTCGACCGCCACTGGAGCTACGACGAGATGCAGAAGAAGATGGCCGAGGAGCGCGCCGAGGCACACCGCATGGTCGAGCAGACGCTCAAGCACTGGGTCGACTTCTTCAGCAAGAGCGACAAGTACATCAAGGTCGGCCGCGTCAAGAGGGAGGAGGGCTGGTTGGAGAAGGCGAAGCCGCCGAAGCTGTGCGAGCAGGCGGCCAAGGGACGGGTTAAGAGGAAGATCCCCGGGCAGGAGGAGCAGAAGTAACGGGCTGCAGAAGCGGTGTAGTTCAGCCTTTCTTCCATTGAATATATTTCTATTTCTGTGTATTGGAAGGTGCACTGAACACCCTTGGACTTGTGCGAGGCTGGCCGAAAATAAGTTGCTTGCATGACCATGTTGTTGCCCATTGTGTTAACTTGAGACCAAAGTATTTGTAGAAATCGCCGAGCCTCACCGTTCCCGAAAACGAGACTGGCCAGTGCCATTGAGCTGAATAACAGCGAGAATGGGCACAGGACAAGCACAAGGAACATCGCCCGCCACAGCGACACTCATGCGTGCCAAAAATGGACTCCGAAAATTGCATTCCTTTAGTATATTGTATTTCTCAATCAATGGCGTTTGCACGGAACTCCAAACGAAAGGTTTACCAGAATCAAGAAACTCGATTTAGATGTGCTAGCAGCAAACATGCAGAGTCACGCCGATCTCTCGGCGCGGAACTATATACACAGGAAATAGTCCCCGTCTAGTTTTGAATTTTCTCTCTCATCCTCCCCTCAGCGTTCGACCAGTTCATTCACCAGCTGCTGTCCCTGTTGAAGAGCAGTGGTTTCGTGCAAAAAGTAAAAACTGCTTTTTGCCAGGACAAGATAGATAAAAACAACATGACATAAAAAAAAGTGAATGGTATTAAGATCATCATCGCAATGGTACACCGTAACCAGACCAACTCCTGGCCCATTCCGTTACACCCACCCCTTCCGTAAATATTCCACGTCTTGTGTGGCTTGTGATAACAAGCTGCGTAGCATGGGAATAATAATCCGCCGATTTGTCACGCCAGCTGAACACCTTACATGAGCATGAAGGTGGCGCCGAGGGCGAGAAGGAGGGTGCCGGGCGCGCTGAGGGAGACGGCGCCGGCGGTGGGAGGGGAGGAGGGGGTGGCGGAAGCACCAGCACCGCTGCCGGCACCAGATCCGGAACCGGAGCCCGTGCCGGAGCCAGTGCCGGTGGTGGGAGAGGCGCTGCCGCCGCCGTTGCCAGAGCCGGAGCCGGAGCCGCCGCCGGAGGACTGGCCGGGGATCAGGGCCTGGGCGACGTTCTTTGCGGCCTTGGCGTAGTTTGCCAGGGAGCGGGTGGCGTTCGCATTGGTGCTGGGCGGGTTGTTAGCAATTTGATCGTATTTTTATTTTTGTAGTGTCTCCGTGCGCGGTGGTTCATGCATCTCGGCCACCCCTCTGTCTCGTCTGAGATGTGAAACGCGAGGTTCACGTCACACTTGACCGATAGACCAGGAGTATCCACGTGCGGGAAAAAGGGTTCTCCGGACAACAACGCGAACCGCGGGAAAGAAAATTCGAAAAGCAAAAAAGGTAAACTTACTTCTCGTTAATGACCATCACCATGCCGTTCTGGCAATGCTTGGCCTGGGAGCAGTACAGCCACATGGGAGTGGCGCTCTTAACCTCAACAGTGAAGACGGGAATCTGGCCCTTGGCGGTGGAGGCGGCGACGGGCTGGTATCCGGAGTAGACGCCCTTGGCGGAGGTGTTGACGTTCTGGATGGGGATGCACGGGTTGTCGAAGGTGGACTGGACGACGGAGTGGTTGCCACCGCGGAACTGGAACTGGACCATGGAGCCGACGGGGGCGTTGATCTTGTCGGGGAAGAACTTGAGGGTGTTGTTGGTCGAGGCGACGGAGACGACTTGGACGTCGACGGCTGACTTTCGTGTTAGTCTGTTGGCCTTTTTCCTGTTCCAGCATCTGCCGAAAACCTACCCTGAGCAACAGCGGCCAGGGCCGAGACAACAATAGCGGACATATGCATCTTGAATCGAATGCGTTTGAAGAAACCGGTAAAAAGGATGAAGTCGAAGAGTATTCGTCGAGAGAGTGACTACTAGAATCGAATGGTTTGTTGTGAAAAAGCGACTTGCGCTATTGGTAGGACTAGCCTCGGAGGAAGAAGACGGTTGGAATTAAACGCGGTTGAAGAAAAAATAAAAAAGGAAAATAAAATCCGAATGAAAGAAACTCTTTTTTGATGACTTCTCCAGGAACGGGAAACTGGAAGCAGAGGGGGTGAGAGGGAACGGCATGGTTTTAAAGGCGACCCTTCGGGATCGTCCCAAGAGTTGTATGGTGTCTGCGCTTTTGCGAGAGAGAGATGCCAGAAACCTCAGACCCCTGCTCGGGCGGGCGTCGTTGCATCTGAAAAAAAAATCGGCCAGGCGTCGACATCAGAGTCGACAGGGGGGTGGGATGTGTGGTGGTTGATGCGTCGAAGAGGCGACATGGGCTGGGCCATTTGGGTGTGAGATGTTGTATCGGGGCAGGGGTGGCTGCCCGGATGGACGTGGGTGAAGGGGTGAGGAGGCTGACGGTGCGTGGTTGAAACACGTTTTGACCATCACAGCCGGGGGGGCTCTTGGGTGTAAGAGAGGTGTCTTTGGTGCGCCACCGACGCCTAGCGAAGACAACGGGTTTTGGCCGGGGTTCTGGGCGCGAAAATTTGAGAATTGGAAGCGCTGTGCCATGGAATCAGCTTGGGGTGATCCGTTGAATGGCTGAGAAACACTGCCAGGAGAATTTCCATGGCCTTGCAGCAGCAGCAGCAGCAGCAGGAGATTGTCTGCAATGCGCAGTGAAGGCCTTGCTTCTGCTTTGCTCTCGCGCACATGCTGCCGACGTCGGTGGCTTTCCTCATCCACCTGGGTGCCCTGCGTGCTTGACTAACACTTGCCAGCGTACAGAGTAGGCCACCCATGTCTCCATCGCCTGTCAGAAGATGAGCGGAGGAGGTCTCCAATGCCCAGGCACTGCCAGACACAACCAAGAGACGCTGCAAGAAAGAGAATGGTAAGGGTTGGGAGCCGTGGTAGCCGAGTAACGGCGCTGCTGCCATCCGTTTCTGGAAAGAAATGAAGGGATCTGGATAAGCCGATCCGAGAAGATGCCGCGCGAGCAATGCCACGAGCAGGTGAACGAATGAGAAGGAAGCTTTGGCTTAATCCTCGAGGGCTAAGGCTTAGGACTGCGCGTACGCAACGCACCGCCGCCGCGCCATGTCAACGTCAACCGATGATGACGGGCCGGAGACCAGACTGAAAAGAGAAGACGGCAAGTGTGGCTTTGCGACGTCGATTAAGCATCCGGCGGCGGAATGGAACACTATCGTCACACGCTATTCTCGGTCGTGGTTTAGAGGGCAACGCAGCTGCCAGCCTGCACACCGCGACGATATACTTTGACTGATATCGGGCTGACAGACAAGAAAAGAACGCGGCGGCCCTTGCCCCCCTCCAACTGCCTAGGTTTCCGTTCATGACACAGATGACGGGACGGTGGTGGTGTGGCAGAGGTTGTAACGGCAGTTCGTCCGCCCAGTCGAGACAGAAAAGTCATCTCATGATATCAGCCCGCGGAGGTTCAAGCCACAGGCATACCACACCACCCCATACTTGCGCCGAAGCACGAACGTATCGTACACACATACGGTTCTCGACTCGCCGACTGATGCAGAGCACGCAGCAGGTGAAGCAACGGTGCTTTCCCCCCGGGCGACGGTCTCTGTGTGAATGGCTCTCAACACTTGATCCAACGGTCAGTTCCCTGAAGCCCCCGGCGGCGACGGCGCAGGACCTGCAACGAAGACAAGACAGGAAATGCACACGGGGCGCTTGTCGGCTGTCTGTCTGTCTGTCTGTCTGCCCGCCCAGATAGACAAGATGGCAGTCGCTTGAGGGAGGGCAAAAGGAGGAAAAGAGACGAGACCGTGGACTGGGATTGGGTGGTAGCGCGTGTCAACCAAGTCGGACGACGTCGAAGCCGAAATAAGGTTTAGGCCCGTAGTGCCCGCCCAGCGACCCAGGGGCTCCTGGCTCGTCTCCACCTTCTCTCCTTTGGGGGCCTCTCATTGGCGAGACCCGCTGAAAGAGGCTGGCGCTCGGATGTGCTTCACCCTCCGTCAGCCCTCTGACACTTCCGCGACGAGCCCTGTTTCAGCGCGGGGGGCGCCTTCAGTCTGCATCCTTTCCCTTTCCCTTCCTTTCCCCCTCGTCCATCGTCCATCGTCCATCTTCTCCATCTTTGCGTCTCCTTCGTCAACTTCTCTCCCAGGCATTCGCTTCATCCACTTCTCCATCTCCTAGGAATACCAACAACATCCAAGCTTCACCCCTGGCACTCGAGCCTTGGTCTGTTCGGTCGGTCAGCGCATCACCAAACTGCTACCCTGTCACTAGCCTGTCGTCCGTCCTCTGGCCTCATCGTCATTGGACTTCTTCCGTGCCATCTCCGCCTTGGTCCCGGGGGGGCCAAGAGAAAATCCTCCGACGATACATTGACAGACCACTCACGAATCTGCAGTCCACCGCCCCATGTCCTTGCTCATCAAGCATTGGTGCCTTTGCTCTTCACCAAGTTCCACCGTTGCGTTACGTCGCGAGGCTTGTCGTCGTTGCTTGTCTGCGTCGTCCTGTCACTGCGATCCCAACCAACCAGACAAGCCACATCCCCCTTTCTCCTCCGTTCCCCGACTCGCCTGCACATGGAAACGTCGTCATACCCTCGTCTGCCGTCTCTCACCACGTCGCAGAACATCGACTGGGGGCAGCATTGGCGTCTGATGTCTTCGCCCTCCCATATCCACCTCGCCTGGCCAACCACCACTGCTATTCGCGGGGAAAGACTATCGTCCCCTGCTCTCTCGACGGCCATGTTGCCTCGACGAGTAGCACCCGCGAATTCTAAGATCGAATTCATTGGGTCCCCATCAACCTCGACCACACGCAAGATTCGCTTCCCGAGATCTGGCATCAATCAGTATTTACTCCACCGTCTGGCTTTCCACCGCCTGCACACTCCTGTCTCTCCTCGTGACTCCAGCACCTGGTGCCTGACCTTCGCTGCTCGCATCCCGCGGCCCTTGGCTTTCCCCTTCCCCAGAACAAACAGGGGGATCCGCGGATCAACGCAGGCGCATACATGCTGTCCACCTTTTTACCATCTCCTCGCCATCAATACTTCCGCGTGGA